CGGCTGTCTTGGATCCGCACTGGGGCCCCCCCGGCGGCGCCTCCGTCGCCGCCACTGGCGCGCTCCGCGCGCCAGGGAGGGGGGCCAGCGCAGATGCAAGATATCCGCGCGGCGGAGCGCCAAAAGTTTCTGTTTATGGCGTTTTGTTTCCTTCTCCTGAGAAAGGAAGACCTCTGATCCTTGCGTTGCAGTTTTTGTCACGAGTGGCATTTGTTCGCCCGGCTTCGAGCCCCAGGATCCCCTAACGGATCGATCCGGCTCGAAGCATGGGCAGAGGGACGGGGTGGGTCTGGGGCTCTGGTTGTGCTTTCCTGTGGTGTTGAAATTGCTGTGCGACGTCGGATGTCAGGGAAGGGAGACGACCCTCCAAGGTCTTGGAGGGAGAGGGAGGAAGAAGGAGGAGGAAGGAGGAGGAAGTAGGACGGGAAGGAGGAGGAAGCGGGAGGGAGGGAGGGAGGAGGGAGGAAGGGAGGAAGGGGGGAAGGAGGGATCGGAGGGGGAGGGAGGGGTGCAGGGAAGGAGGAGGGAGGAGGCAGGAGGAAGGAAGCGAGGGGGAGGCAGGGAGGAAGCAGGGAGGGAGGGAGGCAGGGAGGGAGGGAGGGAGGGAGGGAGGGATCGGCGGCGAGCCCCAAGGGGGGAAGCACGGGGGCAGGCATGCTCGGAGGGCGGCGGGGCGTCCGAGAAGCCGCCCGGCCCTCCGAAAGGCAGCCTCTGGGCCTGAGCACCTCCTCTCAGGGCGGAGGGCTCGGGGTGAAGTCCACAGGGGCTCTTGCACTTCGAACTTCAACCCGTCGTGCGAGTTCAGGCCCCGAACATCCGTCGAAGCGGCGTTTTCAGATGTCACCCCTTGCCCTCCGGGCAAAGGAAACGCTCGGCTGGCTCAGACAGCTTCTCAGAGGGCGCGAGTGCTCATGAGAGGCCCCGCCACCTTCTGAGGAGGCCGGCCCGTCGCACTTGCCCCCCAGGACTCGCCGCCAAAAGGAGGAGGAAGGAGGACAGACCTGCAACGCATTGAAGGAGGAGGAGACGGAGGATGAGGAGCAGGAGTTGAAGGGAGCAGGAAGAAGGAGGAAGGAGGACATGAAGGAGGACAGAGGAGGAGGAGGAGGAGGAGGAGGAAGGAGGAGGGAAGAGGCCTCCTCCAGCTCCGCAAGCTGGGGGTGGCCTGCACCAGAGGGGGGAAAGAGGGCAGACCTCCAGCGCATTCCACGAGCGGCGAACGCATCCACATCCACACCCTCGGGCGCGATCCCTCGGAGCACGGATACGTTCCACGCGGGGTATCCGCGAACCAGCGGCCCGCATCCGTGGAGTCGCGACCCAGGGGCCTGGAGCGATGCCGCGGATACGGACATGTTTTCGCCAACGGGGAGGACGGAAGGAGTAAGGAGTTATGCTGCATCTTCGGGGAACGACTGTCCCATCGTACGAGACCTATGTTGCTTCACATCAGCAATTTGGCCCCTGCTGACTTTTTTCAAAATAATATATTTGGATGAAACGCTGCCGCTGGATATATCGAGCACAGTTGATCACAACACAAACGCTCCTGCGATCCCCGCCAAAATGGCAAGAAATGGTAAGCTCAGATCCGCATGGCTACATTGCAACCGAACCGCTTGACCACCATCTCGACCGAACTGGCGGAATTCGACCACGCGTCCGACAAAATACGTTCGACGAGGGATGCGCTGCACAATGCCCCGGCCACGGGCAGCGCTACGAGGGAAAGCGGGCCCTTCGATGTGTCACTTTCAGCGCCCGTGAAAGTGACACCTCCCAGGGCCCACTTAAAGAGCACCAGAAAGGCTCCAAGAAGGCCCCGAGAAGGCCCCAGGGCGGCACCAAGAGGGCTCCCAGAGGGACCCAAGAGAGGCCCCAAGAAGGGCCCAAGAGGGCCCTCCGCGGTGTCACTTTCAACGCCCGTGAAAATGACACCTCCCAGGGCCCACTTAGGGCCTCAGAAAAGCTCTAAGAAGGCCCCGAAAGGGCCATAGAGAGCCGCCCTGGGTTCAACTCCGCGTGGCGGAGTTGGAAGCGATAACTTCAATACCCTACTGGAGGCCTCTTAGGGGCCCTAAGACGACACTGAAGAACCCCATGGGGGCTTTTCAAAGGCAGAGGAGGGCGCAAAAAGAGGCCTCAGTGAGCCCCTGGTCTAACTCCACCTGGCGGAATTGGAAGCGATATCGCCCGGCGCCTTCATGGAGCCGCTCGGAGCTTCCAAGACGGCTCCAGAAGGCCCCAGGAGGGCCCCAAGAGGATCGAACGACGATTCCTGGAAGTGCACCAGTGAGACCCTTGTTGACCTCCGCCTGGCGGAGTTGGAAGCGACAATTTCCAGTGCCCTCTTGGGGCCTCTGGGGGGCCCCTCAGAAAGCTTTGGGGAGCACAGTGAAGGCCTTCGCAGGGCCGCGTGAGAGCCGTACCAGGGCCGCATGTGTGCGCGGATGGGGGCGACGAGTGCTGACGCTGACGAATATGAGAATGATGAGGGCGATCAAGGCTGGCCCGAAACAAATCCTGGCGCCATTGCAGGCCGCCGATTATCGGCCACGCCGCCAGGACGACGCCAAGCAACAAAACGACACCAACCAACAAACCGACACCAACCAACAAACCAACAAATCGACACCGGCCAACAAAAGGACACCAAGCAACAAAACGACACCAAGCAACAAAACGACACCAACCAACGAAACGACACCAACCAACAAAACGGCACGAATCAACAAAACGGCACTGACCAACCAAACGACAAATCACTTCACGACACCAATGAACAACGCGAAATCCACCGACCGCCAACCAAACATAAAATCAACCGACACAACGAAACCAACCCATAGAGCCAGACCAACCACTGGATTCGTGAGTCGGGGTAGTCATGGAAATGAGCCGCTGCAGCCCGCGGAAACCATTAACAATGACCAGAGTACCGCAATGCAGCAACGTCCCCGGGCGGCGGCGGGAGTCTCGGATCTCCCGCGGGACTGGAGCGTAGCGAGTTCGTCCTGGGTCCGGTTAGTGAAGTGAAGAATTTCGAGGTGCTGGCATGGCAAAAACCTTCACTTCACTAATCTGGGGCCCCTGGAGCCCCAGGGCGTTTCAGGTCCCCTCGCTGTCTGGGTAGTCCAGGGGGCGCAGTGGCGGCTTACCAGAGGCCCTGTTCCCTAGCCTCACTTGCTTTCACCCGTGGTGCTCGACGGCCGTCTCGGAGCTGTCTTGTGGCGGTCTGGGGCAATCCCGAAGCCTCTTGGAGCCATCCCAAGGCCCCAAGGCGCCACCAATGGGGGCCCCAAGAGAGCTCCCAGAGGGCCCCGAAAGGCCTACAACAGATTGCACGTTCGCGCGAATTCTTTGTACCACTTTGGGGGGTCCCTCTTGGGGCCCTCGGGGAACGTTCTTGGGGCCCTCCGAGGGCCCACTGGGGCCCCGGGAAGGCCCCAAGAACGCTCCCAGAGGGCCCCAAGAATGCTCCAAGAGGGCCCCAAGAGGACCCCCACAAGTGACAAAAACTATTTGCATGAGGGTGCAACTTACTCGGCGCCTCTTGGGGCGCTCTTGGAGCCGTGCTGGGCGCCACTCGTGGACGACATGGGCTGGGCGACGGCATGTGGACCCTGTCGCTTGGGCCATCGGGGGTGCTCCCCAAATGGGGCCACGAAGCTTCTGAGCGTATGACGGAATGGGCTGGGCGGCGGCCTGTGGGCCCTGCCTGTGGGGCCGTCGGTGTAGCTCCCCGTGGGGCCACGAAGCGTGTGAAACGTATGCCGAAATATGCTGGGCGGCGGCCTGGGAAACCTGCCGCTGGGACCTTTGTTTGGTGGAGCTGCCTATAGGGGCACGAAATGTTTGAGGGTGTCATCAATGTGGCCTGGGCGACAGCATGTGGACCTTGCCGCCGGGACCTCCGATGAGCTCCTCATGGGGACACGAAGCGTCTGAGGGGCGTGCCGACATGGGCTGGGCGGCGCACTAAGGACCCTGCCGATGGGGCCTTCGGTGGAGCACCTCACAAGGCCACGAGACTTGCGGGGGATGTGGCGAAGCAGAGACGCGGGGGAACAAGGGGGGTGTTTTGATGATGTTGATGAGGATGGTGGTGGTATTGATGATGGAGACGACGAGAATGCTGATGATGCTGATGATGATGGTGATGGCGACGATGACGATGGACGATGACGACGGGGACACGCGGAGAGCAGGGGCAGATACGCGAAGAGGGAGGACGAGGGAGGGGGCCGGAAGGAATGACGCGGGGCGGTGTCTCTTCAAAACGAAGAACCAACACTGCAATATGGTCGGAAATTTCTGGACGACCCCCCCCCGTGGCGCGGTCAATGTCCGCGACAGCATCGCTGGCACTACGAACGAAATGATCGAACTCTTCCTGCGACGTTACCCGCGGGGTGGATCAGCCAGGGATGGGGGTCGAAACCGCCCCAGCGCAAAGCAAATGTACAATCCTGAAAAGCCCCAGCCCACATCAACCGATTCGCAACAAGCACGCAAGCCTTTGACGACCCCAACGCACGTGACATCGCATAACGCGACGCGCCATCGAAAACGTTCGACGCGCGGCCTCGGAATGACATCGGGCTTCATGGAACGTCGAATGGAAAACATGAAAAACCGCCCTGTGGGCTCCGATACCCAAAATTACTGATGTGAAGGATTTCGGCTCGTCGACATCGCGCCAGCCATCCATGTCGCATGTATGCCAAAGCCATGTCGAACGCGTGGAATCTGTGCCGAATCCGTGTCGAATCCACGTCGAATTCACACCGAACACACGTCGGAATACAAGGAAGGACTGCCATTGAAAGGACCAGACAGGTTCCCCCGAAGAGGCAAAGGAGGCATCAGGACAAACCTCCAACGTGTTGACAAATTCTAAACTGAAATTGTTCATCGCTTTCAGCGTCTGGAGGCCCTCGCTGGGCCTCGGGACCGTCAGAAAATGAAGTGGTGCAGAGCTTCCGGGACCTCGCATCGTTGCAGCAGGTATTATGTTGCCACTGGGGTTAGGTCGGGCCTGTCCCCCTACACGCGGATTTTGAGCGAAAAATTGAAAATAGTCAGAAAAATACACCAAACACACCCAAAAATACTAAAAAGATCGTCCCCAGACTGTTCTTTTTGACTAGTTTTGAATACTCCTCCTGTAGAGGGACACGCCCGACTTAACACTGGGGGCTCGAGTACAAAGGCATGCAGTGTGGCATCAGCTACAGCGCTGCGATCAACTCGTGCGAGAAGGGCGCAGGCGTGCACAGCAGGCTTGCGCTGCAGCGCATCTGCGGAAGATCCCCGCCGTGGATGGAGGTGATCATTGTCTTAGGTCGGGCATGCCCCCCCACAGGCGGATGTTGGACGAACAATTGAAATACCCAAAGAAATAAAAATTAACACAAAAAACTAAAAAAGATAGTCCCCATACATGTTTTAAACTATGTTTTGAATATTCCTCCTGTAGAGGGGCACGCCCGACTCAAGCCTTGTGACGCAGCGCATCTGCGGAAGATCCGCGCCGTGGGTGCAGGTGGCCCTTGTCTCAACTACACCGCGGGGATTTCAAATGCGAGGGGCTGGCGCAGAGACACCAGCGATGCGCGAAGGGCTGGGGCACCTCCCGGCCGTCACCGTGGAGCGGAAGGCATCCGACCACAAATCGGCCCTGTGAGGGCCAAAGGCTTGGCCGTTTTGAGTCTGGCGCGGCGTCGGCGCGCGTGGCGAAATGCGGCCGCGAGATCTTCGGGGCGCCTGCGCCTCCTGGTTGCCCGTTCGACCGCGATGCTCCCCAGGGATCCTCCTCCTCCTCCTCGTTTTCCTCCTCCCCGTCCTCGCCCTGGGCCTCCTTCTCCTCCTCCTCTTCACCATCATCGACAACAACAGCATCATCCTCCTCTTTCTTTGGAGATCGAAGATCGAGGTTCGAGGTTTTGGGGCGTTGTGGGTCCTGGGTGGGCTCACAGGGGGGAGGGACATGTCGCCAACTCGGCGACACCCACCACGGAATTCTGGCCAAAACTCATCCGAGGAGAAAAATGGGGAACGGTGTTTGAAGATCAGGTGGGGAAGGAGGAGGACGACGACGACGACGAACAAGGGGCGGATGAGTGGAGGCCGCCCAAGTGAAGCGGGAGTGGAGTGGATGGGGTCGGGGGATCGCACCGCATCGCTGATGCATCGACGATGCGACGCAATCCTCCGACTCTATCTACCCTGGTCCAGTCTGGGAGGCCTGAAAGGAAGAAGAGAAAGTATGAATATGTTTGCCCTTTTCGGCTTCCATGGTGGCCCTCGTCGCCAAGGCTGGGTCCGCCTCGAAACCCTGGTCAGAACGCGCCCCAGGACAAGCCATGGGTCGAGGACGACGACGATGACGGCAACGACGACGACGACGACAGCGACGACGACAACCCACGACAGCCCACGACGACGAAGACGATTGGGATGGCGACGACGAACCAGACCTACAGGCGTGGCGAAAAGATGCGACGGCGCTTTTCTCACAATTCTGAATTCTGGGGGCGTTCCTGGGCCTCGGGAGCATCAGGAACGGCACGCGGCGAGACAACTGTCCTGTGGATGAGGCCGACTGCTCCCCCGCCCGCACGGTGAGGCCTGGAGACGGGAACCAAAACATCCCCATCCCCACCTCACCTTGGAGCGGGGGTGAAGATGGAGAGGGAGTGAAAGGGGGAGTGGATCAAGGAGGGGGAGCGCCACCAGCTGAGGGAGGGAGGAGAGAGGTCCCACGTCAATCCAACAATCGCCTGATAGCGGAGGACTTGCGAGCGCCAGCTCTGATGCGGGCGTGGAACAAAAGTCGAGATGTTTCCTGATCTCTTCTCGCACTGGACCTCGCAGCATTGAAGGCATGGGAAAGGGCATCGAAGCTGACAGCTGCAGCCTTCACCTCCTGACCATTAGGCGCTCCCCAACAGCATGGGAGAATGGTGGCAAAGGGATCGAGACCGAACGAAGCAGGAACCGGGAGCAACGAACGGACGAGAGGGAAGACAACAGGGCAGCAAGCATAATGGGACAGGCAATCCGCACCTACATTCTGACAACCAAACGAACAACCCATGGTCCCTTTTCGGAACCTTTTTGTTGCGGTTCAAGCATTACATATTGTTTTGAGCACGGCAGTGGCGATAAACGGTGGCAAAGATGGGGAGAGGCTACTCAGACGACTATGACACAAAGCAAATTGTTGTTCAGAGGCGTGTGGGAGCCAATAACGAACACGGTCACCTAGTACATGTTCAGGTAGAACTGGTTTGAAAGGTTTTCGTGTAACATTGCCGATGTCATTTTGAAGCCGTTTAGGGGGGGATTCTTCAGGAAATCCAGGGAGACGACCAACAACTCTCAACGTCTTTGTCATACGAGTAACAACATAATTTTTGAGGAAAGGGTGGGCGAAGGACGCTCTGATGGCACCATCGCACTTCTGGAGATCGTCCAGCCACGCTCGTACTCGCTGAAATTCTCTGCTGAGGCACGCCGCTCTAGTTAGAGCTGCCGTGCACACAATACCTTGCGAGGTCGCATTCCTGGGGAAGCCGAGGATGGCGAGGTTGCGGAGGCTCTTCGGGGGGAAGGAGTAACGAGGACCACGGTGGAGGAGCTGAAGCCCTTCTCGCTCACATTGGAGGACCTCACCAGGCAACAAAAACAAAAACTGGCTGGCGTGGCTGGTGACTGGCGCGGCGTGCACATTGTGATGCAGGATGCTCTGGGTGAGGCTTCCTCCCAGCATCTTCACATCACTGCGTCGCTGATATAATCTTGCGCCGGGTGCAATCCACGACTTGGCTGGGCCTCCACGGCCGACAAGAACTCCAAGGTACTTGGCGCAGTCCACGATTCTGATCCTGGCTACGTTGATCCCTGCACCCTTAAACCTCCGCCTCGCCTCGTCCTCACTCGCTGGGGACGCGAAGAAGATCGCGCACTCTTGAATATTCAACATCATGCCCGCGAAGAAACCCGCTCGGCATAAAATATTGACGTCCTCCGGAAGGAAGTCGTAGATGTTTTGGGCGGCGGCGGCTAAATCGTCGGCAAAGCCATGGATGCTGCACTCAGGGCTCTGCGGGATGGCAGGGGTCGCTCGAATAACAGGGTCGAGAATGATGGCAAGAAGAACTCCACTCAATTGGCATCCTTGCTTCATCCCCCTCCTGCACCAAAAAATCGAGAGCGTCTTCGCTATCCTTTTTCCTCCCCACCTGCACGAAACAATTACGGTAGAGCTTTCTTATCGCCTCGACCAAAAAGCTCGGACAGTTCTGGGCCTCCAGGATGGCGAAAATCCACCGACGCACCACACCTGGAAAAGCAACTGTAATGTCGAAACAGCATCCAGCTGTTTCGCGATGCCCCATGATTCCCCCCATCCTCATAAATGCCCGTCAAGCCCAACGACGCTATCTACTCAGCTCCTTCCCCCGACGAACCCACGCTGAACTTCGCGCACAGCCTGGCTTGCAACAGCTCGACAAGGCATGGCCACAAGAGATGCGAGCATTTTGCTGTCGCTGTTGGAGAGCGCCAGCGGCCTGGCATTCCCTGGGCGCTCTATCTTCAAGACCACCGTTTATGAGGTCTCCTCTCGGGAGGAAGACGGAGCGAGAGCGGTTGAAGGCAGGGTGGAGTTGCCCGCCATGGAGGAGGTGAACATAGAGGGCGTAGAGAGCATCCGCAACCACACTGCCACCTTTCTTCCAGGCTGAATATGGGATGCCATATGGGCCCACGGCCGCGTCGCGCTTGCTGTGCAAGCACCTCTTGAAGCCTTCAAAGTCGACTACCCAATCGCGGCGCCGGTGGTCATTCGCGACAAACTGTTCGCCGCTGTCCACGAGCGGGGAAACAGACCTAAGGAACTGATTATTCGCATCGATGGGCGGCCCCTTCATGTCTTCAAACACCTCCCCCCAAAACTCGGCTAAGAGAGCATTGCACCCCATCGGGGCCGGGGCGGGCAATACCCCCGGGGTCTTTCACGGCCACCAGGCGAAGAACAGGGCGCGATTTGGCCCAAGCTGCTCTCATTCTTTTTGCACGGGCCAGCAGGGCTTCTTTCCTGGAGGAGGAGAGCTCGGGGTCGGCGATGGTCTGTTGCTCAATCTTATGGAGGTAGCCTTGCTGGAGCGAGCGGAGATGAGCATGGAAGCCTCGCCAGCCCGTCCAAAGCCCTGCGTGTACACAGAAAAACGCGGTAAGATACTCGTGGCCATGCACTGCTCTGCGCACCTGACGGGCATTGTTACTGCGATCAGCTCGCAACACCTCGAGGCAGCAGAATATTTTAGCTTCTACACTTGCCGCTCCTTTCTGCTGGACGTATTGATTGACCTGCGACGCCGCAAATATCACGTATGCTTTAACAGCCTCGATGCGATCAGGCGGGTACGGGCCGGAGGGGTTATTCTCAATGAGCACGCTGAGGTAGTGGCAAAACTTATGGTGGGAAGTAACCCAGCGAACAATGTTATATGGGATCGCACCTGACCATTTATTCAAGCTTAGGTACACGGGAGAATGATCTAAAGGCCTCCTGAGGTCCGAAATCCTCCATTCAGTAGTACTGTCGGGCTCGTAATCAAGCAGCTCAGCAGTAGGTATGTTGATGTATATTCTGTCTACGCGCCCGTAACTAGCTTGCCCATTAGCAGTTCTCCGACGTGCACAGTCTACTTGCTCAACTGCACAAAATGCAAGAAAAACGTGAGCGAATAACTGGGATAGCCTGACAAGCCTTGGTCGCTCCTCCCCCGTTTCGACGGAGAAGCGACTTTCACCTGAAATATGGAAGTTAAAGTCGCCCATGCTGATAGCTGTGGAGTGGGGGAGGAGGCGCTGCTGAATCAAGAAGAACGCTCGTCTGACCGCATGTTCATTCCACCCAGGATCGACATGCACGTTCGCAATCTGTACTATCCCGCGCTGGCTGCGCAGCGCTAACACGGAAAAAGCGGCAAACGATGGGGCCATCAAAGGCCGGGTCGCCAAACTCTGTCAAGAGCGTTCGCCTTACACCGGCGATGATGCCGCCCGCGGACTGGCCCAGGAACGAACCCCAGAAGACGAAGCCCCGATAATCTCTGGATAGGTCATTGAGGTCCCCCTGGTGCCCATGGGCCCCCTGGATACTTACCACGGTGCGTTTCTGGAGAAGGCGAGAGATTTCAGAATATTTGCCACGTGCCTGCTCGGGCACCGCATGGAGCGAACAAAAAAGAGTCTGGGCGTTCCAGGAGCAGAAACTGACGCTTCTCTGGAAGGCGAATTGTTTACCTGGCGCAGAGGGGGGTGGAGCCAACGGAGGCGAAGAGAGGAGATATGGTGGCTGTTGCTGCTCACTATGTGGCTCAGTACTCACTGCTTCACCCACCAGTGTCCCTCGAGCCTTGTGGCCTTGACGGTGTTTCCTAAATGCACTCGCGCTCCTTCATGTCCTTCTGAGCCTCATCGAGTATGGCCTGCACGTCCTTATCTGGAACATTCCAATCCCTGCAGGTCTCCTCTTGATACTCGAACGTGAAGGTGTCTTTACCACGTGGCCGATGCGCAACCTGAAGCTTAATCAATTTCCACAAGTCGTCACCGTCTGTGATGAGCATGTGATTCTTGTAGCCGTTGACCCTCAGCTTGCACGACGACGTCCACTTGGGGCTTTCCTTGAAGAGGTTCTCCAGCGGCTTGTAGATGGTGCTGAAGGCGCGATTATTGTCTTTGACGTCCATGGGGAGGTCGCTTCGCACTTCTATCTCATGGACCTCACGGTTTCTAGGGTCAACCCATTTCAGGCCTGCACTGTTGGCCGCCAGCTGGAACGCTCGGGCGTCCGCAGCGTTGGGGAAGAGCAGGCTGAACGTCTAAGGGACTTCATGCAATTCAGCTTCGACTTGCTCGCCAAGATGCCCTGGGAACGCGTTCTTCATCCACTCGTAATATGAAATTCTCCTCTTCTTGAAGACGGGACGTGGCCAGGTCCCAACCCAGCGACGACGGTCTGCATCTGGACGTTTTTCAACACGATTCCCTTCAGCTCGAAATCGTTTGTTCCCATACGACTGGTGTCCTGAAGGGCCATCCACAGAAGAAGTTGCCGTACTGCTCGCACTCGAGGTCTGGACTCGATTGAGCTCGATGTTGGTATTATCGAGCTTCTCCTCGGCAGCAATGAGCTGTTGGTTTTGCCGATCAAGCTGCTGCTTCAACGAGGTCAGTGTCGCTTCCTGCTGCTGAGCTGTGGTGCCAATCGCCGAAACATCCTGCTGGATAGTGGATATCTGCGTCGTGAACAACGTCGACAGGTTTGTCTGCATCTGCGAGAGCATCGTCTGCAGTCCCGCGTAGGTGATGGGCCCCTGCTCGTCACGCTCCATCCCTGCCAGAATCTGCGATGCGAGAGGCTGCTCTCAAGCTTTGCGCTCGAGGAGAGGAACTCTTGGCCCCAGCAGCGCACAGCTCGACTGGGGTTGCGTGAATCGGGAACTAGCCTCGGACTAGAGGTATCCGTTTCTAGCCCGAGGGACAAAAAAACAAATAAAAAAATAAAAATAAAAAAAAAAAAATAAAAAAAAAAAAAAAAAAAAAAAAAAAAAAAAAAAAAAAAAAAAAAAAAGACATCTTGACCAGAATGGCTACGGAAGTTGGATCAAGGAGGGGGAGAACAGGAGGAAGGAGGGGGGGGGGAGGGAAAGGGGGAGGGGGAGGGAAAGGAGGAGGTGGAGGGGGAGGGGAAAGGGGGAGGAGGAGGAGGAGTAGGACAAGGAGGAGGAGGACGAGGAGGAGGAAGAGGAGGGAAGCGGAGGAGGACGCGTGGGAAGAGGAGGAGGAGAGGGGTGAACAGGGGGAGAGGGTAGGGGGGGGGGAGGAGGGAAAGGAGGATGAGCAGAAGTCCAGGATGACAGGGAACAATGACAACGTGGAGAAAGAAGACGAGGAAGAGCGGGACCTGCGTCGTAAGGGACTGGCATCGGGGACAAGCACGTGGTCGGGGGCCTGAACCCCTTGTAGCCGCTCGGATGCTCCGGATCGGCCGGGTACAGCTCCGGAAAGAGGTACGACGCGACCGTGGCCCTCTTGTGGCAGATCGTGAAGCGGCTCTCGTTGAACTGCCTCAGCTCGTCGCGTATGATCTGGCGGTGGGTCTCGAAAGAGATGAAGGACGCAGCGGCCTCGGCGTCATCCGCCTCGGCAGCTGCTGCTGCTGCCGCGGCGGGCGGAGGGCGCAGCGCGTTCAGGAGGCGGCCGACGAGCTGGAAGGTGACCGTCTTGCCGCACCCGTTGGGGCCGAGGACAGCCCAGCGCTCGCCTTCCCTGATGGTGAGCGTCAGGTCCGCCACGAGTGTTCGCGGCGGCGCCCCGACCGAGACCGTCCTATTCGACAGGCTGATCAGGGGTTGCGCTGAAGATGAGAACTGCCGCCTTGGGCAGACCTGCCTGACCAGGAGTGGTCTGGACATGGACATCGCGAGCCACGCATGCGTCGTCCAGTGGGCCAGGGAAAATCTAGCCTGCACGGCTTGAGCCAGAATCGCTGCGAGAAGGACGAGGAGGATGGACAGGTAGGACAAGTCGGGTATCGATCCCTCAACATGGGTTTGAATAATTGCGCGGCAGGCCTGCCTCCTCCTCCTCCTCCTCCGCCTCCCTCCTCCTCCTCCTCCGCCCGCCTCCGCCTCCCCTCTCCTCCCAGTCTCCCCTCCTCCTTCCTCCTTCCCTCCGCCTCTATATCTCCTTCCATCCTCTCCTTTCTCCTCCTCCACCTCCTCCTCCTCCTCCCCCTCCTCCTCCTCCTCCTCCTCCTGCTCCTCCAGAGGTGCCTCTAAAGGCAGAGTAGAGCGCATACAACAATACGCGAACCGTAACAACACAAAACCACAACCAACGCACGAGCATGTTCCTCTCCGAGCTTGCACCGACGTGGATGCGCTTCGGATGACTCCCGGATGACCGTGGTGGTTTGTATACCTTCCCTGGTCCGCTCTGGCGTAGCATCCTCTGCAAGATTCCCTGGTGGAGCTTGAGGCCGCCGGCACCGCAGATGAATCGGGGACGCGCAAACATGGATTAGCAATCCATGGATTTGGCGCGCGGTCGCCAAATCCATGGATCGGGGGAGGTGCCCTCCCCAAAATGCGGCTGGTGGCGCCTCGTTCGGCGGCGGAAATCTGCGGCTTCCCATGGAAGCGGGACCCGTCGCCAATCCACGCCCCCTTGATCCATGTTTGCGATCGCCTGACCGGAGGTGAGTAGGCGGATTCCGGAGGTGAGGGGAGAAGGATACCTGGAGGTGAGGAAGAGGAGGAGGAGGAGGAGGAGGAGGAGGAGGAGGAGGAGGAAGGGCAGGAGGGGTAGGAGGAGGAGGAGAGAGGGAGAGGAGGAGGAGCGCCTGATTCTTGGTCTGAGAGCGTGTCTCCTCCCCCCAGGTGTCCCCCTGCGCGTGCCCCTGTGCGGCCGCTCGCTCTCGCTCTCTCTCACTGCACAGGTGAGCATCAAACAGGTCCGCGGTCCGTTCTGGCTCGAACGCGCTGGGTGCCACATCGCTGCGGAGCAACGTACTCCTCGCCCTTGCCGCCCTCGGAATCTACGAACGTACCCCATTCGGAGAGGCATTCCATTCATACCAGCTCTGGGGTAAACCCCGGATGGACAAGAGCCCGACTACTTTTTATTCCCGACGATGCCCATGACCGGCTCCCCCCCCCTCCCTCCCTCCCTTCCCCTGGTCACGTCACGGTTCGCACCAGCGCCGTCTGGGAATGCACCATCCCTAAGCATTCCCAGGCGGTGCCGGCACGAATCGTGACCGGCCCCGCTACCGCCGGGGGGCAAAAAGCGGTCTCCACGACGAGCGGGTCAGACGGGCGGACCCCAACGGGCGAGTCGGGCTGGTGGGCCCCAGCGGGCGAGGGTCGGGCGAGGGTCGGGCGCGCGGGAGCCTGAAGCGGGCGGGTCGGCCTCCACACGAGCGAGCGGGCGCGGCGGCCCCGAACGGGCGGGGCCGGGCGGGCCGCGGTGTGTAAGTCAGGCGCGACGAAGTCCCTGGCGAGAGCGCGGTTTTGGGCATGGCTTACTGGGGGGGTCACAAATGGGGAGGTCAGAAACGGTCCCCTTTCGTGCCCCTTTCGGGCCCCTCCGGAGCCCCAGGGGGCTCGTTTAGGCACCGTTTGGGTACCTTTTCGGACCACCCTCGCCACCCCCCCATTTATGACCCCCCTATTACGCAACGCCCAACGGTTTCTAAAAGCAATGTGTCCGGAAGTCCCGGGCAGGAGCGCATGTCCTGAGCGTCGAGAGGGCGATCCCTGGGTAAGGGGCGAGGGCGCCCCAGGCGAGAGCGCGATTCTTAAGCAACTGTCAGGAAATCGCAGGCGGGAGCCGCTGATGTTGCGCTTGGACCTTACACTCCAACCCGCGCTCGAGTGCGGTCCAAGCACGAATGAAAAAGACCAGGCAACCTTCCATTGCTCAGCAAATGTTCCGTACAAGTGAACCCTTAATAGCACCAGAACGCGCATAGCGCGGAAACAACAAAGGCTTAGGCGGAGTGGGCAAACACAGACAAACCAAACAACTCCTACTCCCTCCTCCTTCTCCTCCTCCTCCTCCCTTCCTCCCTCCCTCCCTCACTCCACCCCTCCCCACTCTATTCTCCCTCCTCCTCGTGTTCCTCCTCCTTCTCCGCCTCCTCCTCCTCCTCCTCCTCCAATCCACTCCATTTCCTTTAAAAAATCTCCCTGTCGCACCCAAAGGCCGGTCGAAAGGGCGGGCCGGGCGCTTCGCCTGAGAATTCCTCACCACTCATGAGCCTCAAGCTTAAACATTTCACAGAGGGGCAAAATGTGGCTCTCGCCTTAGCGTCGCGCTCATTCGTCTTCGACATTGAAAGAGCTGCACGGATTGAGGGCGGGTCGTTTTCAAAATGTGGCTGTCGCCTTCACACCGCGCACATTCTTGTAAAACGTTGCAAGAGCTTCACGGATTGAGGGCGGCTCATTTTGAAAAGGTGGCTCTCGCCCTAGCGCCGCGCACATTCCTTTTCTAAAATTGTAAGAATGTCAAGATTCCAATGATCGACATATCAGAAAGTGCGTTTTGGAGAGGATTCTGAATGTTCATAATTACATGATTCGCGGTGCTGAAGTCACAGGAATGGCGTCCTGGCACGATTCAGGATCGCCAGGACGCAACAGTCAGGTTGATCCGTTGCGTTGGAATCCCGGGAATAATAATGATTTGGCATACTTCAGGGTCTTCAAACGGTTGTCTTCCAACGAGGCAGTTCACTCAGTGGAAATGAATCCCTGTATAGGCCGGTAAAGGAGGAGCTTAGAGGGAGGGTTGATTCCAACATCGTTGATGACTCTTGGGTTTACACTGGTCCTCCTCCTGCACAGTTACTCAATATGAATATACTCCGCTCGTTTTTCTTATATATATACTTTTTTGTGTGTATATATATATAAACAACAAAAAACTGTGAAACTAGGTCTCGGCTAAACTAGATCGGAAGCTTCGGTCCCCGACTTCTGCAATTCCGAAAACTAGATCGGCCCGCTTGCACTTTCATTTCCCATACATTAACACACTCTAGATCCCCTTTCCTTTCGGGTGCTCCCACATACGCGTGCACCTCGCAATGTGGCGGTCGGCTCGGCTGCGCTGAATTCGATCCGACCAGGCCCCATATACACGGGGTCATTCAAGGGTCGGTCTGCACGGTCAATCCTGCAAGTCACTCCGGGCTCCAGGACTATCCACGGTCACCCGGGCTCCCGACGCACCCCCGACGGACCCCGCACTGACCCCGGCCCAGACGGACCCCGCACGGAGCCCGGACTGGCCCCGGACTGACCCCCGACTGACCCCGGACTGTCCCCGCGGCGGACTGTCCCCGGACTGTCCCCGGACTGACCCCGGACTGACCCCGGACTCACCCCCGACTGACCCCGGACTGACCCCGGACTGACCCCGGACTGACCCTGGACTGATCGACCCCGGACTTACACCAGACCCTTGAGCATCCAATACACCAATACATTGCAAACACCAATATATTTGCTCTTAGCGAGAACCCATGTTCGAATCTATTCGCTCGCGGCGGGCGCCAATATATTGGTACGCTTTCCTATGTTGTGTTCGACATGATCCCTCATGGTTGCGCGACGTCACCCCTTGCTAGGGGAAGAGCCTCCTGCGACCCCTTCAAAGGGGCACTTCCTTTTCTTTTCCTTTTTTTTCTGTTGCCATTTGCTCAAACGCGAGTGGCAGCAGGCATTGCGTTGAGATGGGGGGCGCTTCCAAGGAGAAGCCGCGCCTCTACCGCACTTGCCAGCTCGGCGATGAGGCCATGGTTGACTTGGTGAAGCAGCGCGTGTCATTGATCGAGAAGAACTACATCAATGGCACAACGGAGCAGATCATCAAAGATAACATGCCGTTATTGTTGGATGCGTGCCAGGCGTCGCAGCGCTTGAGCTCCACAGCGTTCACGAAGGCCATCGATTCGCAGAAGACGCACCTCACGGCAGAGGAAGCGAAACGCTGGGCCACTGAGATGAGCAGGCGCGTCAGCTACGTAGTGAACAAGTTCAGGAGCGCCGTGACCGCGGAGAAGCTGGATCACTACACGAGGACCCTCGGACAGGCGATGAACTTGGAGCGCGGTCGTACTTCTTCTGGCAAAAAGAAGGAGACGCCACGCAGTGACGTCGTCGAGAGCACCTCCGAGGATGACACTCGTGCCGAGAGCTCGGCCCCAGCCGCGAGTGCACCACGCAGTCCAGCAGACGCAAGGCACAAGCTGATCAAGGAGCTATATGGGATTTCTCCACCGCCCAAGGCGAAGACCACGAAGGACGAAGTGCACAGCCCGCTCGTCGTTTTCTCAAGCCAGGAGGTGATGGAGTCACCTGCGCGCCCTTCCGCTGCACCTGCCGCTTCTAGCTCTGCGAAGAAGGTCACTTTTCACCTCCTCTCCATCCCTTTCTGATGCCTGCTAATTTCTCCTGCTGTGATCATCCTCTTCTATCCGTCCAACTCATCCGTCTTCTCTATCACAGGTGACGTGGTACGACTGGAACTCCGACCCGCCGTCCATGGTCGTTGCTGATGAGTCGGGCCAGGAGGCGCGCATGCCGCTGTCTGCAGGCGAGATGGGTTTCTTGATCGCACGCGCGCCTGGCGGGGACAAGATCGAGACAGACCAGCCCAACGCCTTGCTCGTTGCCCATGCTGCGGGGCGGAAGAAGCGGGAGGCCCAAGAGAAGGAGGCGCTGGCGAAACCTGACAAAAAAGCAATGAAGAAAAGTGTATGAAAGCAGCCAGGAAGCGCCCTGCTGCAGCGATGAAGGGACCCCCCAGGAAGCGCCCTGCCCGCGCGAAGGCTGCCAGCGAGGATTCGGACGGAGAAGAAGGCGGCGGGCAGGAAGACGAAGAGGAGGAGGAGGAGGAGGAGCAGCAGGAC